CTGTGGCCCGGGAGTGCAGTGGAGGATGGCCCAGGTGCTTGGGCCCTGCACCCCATGGGAGACCAGGAAAAGCACCTGGCTCCTGCCATTGGATCAGCGCGGTGCGCCGGCCGCAGCGCGCCGGCCGCAGCAACCATTGGAGGGTGAACCAACGGCAAAGGAAGACCTTTCTTTCTGTCTCTCTCTCTCTCACTGTCCACTCTGCCTGTCAAAAAAAATAAAAAATAAAAAATAAAAAAAAAAGAAAATTGCATAGACTGGGGCCGGCGCTGTGGCATTGCGGGTAAAGCACCGCCTCCAGTGCCGGCATCCCATATGGGTGCCAGTTCGAGTCCTGGCTGCTCCTTTTCTGATCCAGCTCTCTGCTATGGCCTGGGAAAGCATAGAAGATGGCCCAAGTCCTTGGGCCCCTGTACCCACATGGGAAACCTGGAAGATGCTCCTGGCTCCTGGCTTTGGATTGGCGCAGCTCCTGCCGTTGCAACCAATTAGGGAGTGAATCAGCAGATGGAAGACCCCTCCCCGCCTTGCCTCTCCTCTCTCTATGTAACTCTGACTTTCAAATAAATAAATCTAAAAAAAAAAAAAAAGAAAGAAAGAAAATTGCATAGACTTGGGATTTGAACAACAGAAATTTTTTCTCTCACAGTTCTGGAGGCCAGATGAGCTGGATGAGTTCCTTACGAGTGTGTACACTGCAGGCCTCTCTCCTGGCTTCTGGAAGTTTCTTGGCCTGTGTCAGCATCACTCCAGTCTTCACACGATGTTCTCCAAGTGTCGGTCGCATTTCCCTTTTTCGTAAGGACACCAGTCACAGTGGGTTAAGATCCACCCGAATAACTCATCTTAACCAGCTCATCTGCAATGATGTGTTGCCAGATAAGGTCGCATTCTGAGGCACTGAGCACTAGGACTTCAATGCATGAATCCTGGGGGACACGACTTAACCCATGACCCCAGGAAAGGGTGAGGAACCCCAGAGATAAGCGAAAGCAGGGAGCTGTCGGCCCCTGTGCGGCACGTTCTCGAGGGCCTCTTCAGATCCCCTCTCAACCTTCTCCACCTTCCTGGATGGCCGGGAGGCTGACCCCCGCCGTTTGGACACCCCAGCTCCTTCACTTTCTCTCGGCTTCTATATGGTTTGGGGAGTGGGGGGCACAGGCAAAGTCATCAGGGGCTGGAAGCATTCCTCCCATGCCTTCCCAACTCCTTTCATATCCCTCTCCATGCCTCCATCATGTTTAGTATTTGCTAGGGAAGAGCTTGCTCGTGTTTAAAATGTAGGTGAGTCCTGCATGGGAGACCAGGAGGAAGCACCTGGCTCCTGGCTTCGGATCGGCTCGGCGTGCTGGCCGTGGTGACCATTTGGGGGGTAAACCAACAGAATGAAGACCTTTCTCTCTGTCTCTCTCTCACTGTCTAACTCTACCTGTCAAAAAATAAATAAAAAATAAAAAATAAAAAAATAAAATGTGTGTGTATTGCTCCAGAAGCTTTTGTACAGTTAGTAATAATCGTTGTGCACCAAGTGTTTGCTATCTCCTTCACTCTATAACAGGATGCCACGACTAGGCAGTGTATATAGAACAGAAATTTCTTTGACTCATGGTTCCAGGAGCTGGAAGCCCAAAGGCATGGCCCTGGCATCAGGCAAAGGCCTTCGTGCTGTCTAATCCCCTGGTGGAAGGCGGAAAGGCAAGAGAGAGCAAGAGAGGGTGGAACATGCTTTTTTATCTAATTTAATTTATTTTAAAAATTTATTTACTTATTTGAAAGTCAGAGCTACACACAGAGAGAAAGAGAAGCAGAGAGAGAGAGAGAGAGAGGTCTTCCATCTGCTGGTTCACTCCCCAATTGGCTGCAACAGCTGGATCTGCACCGATCTGAAGCCAGGAGCCAGGATCTTCTTCTGGGTCTCCCATGTGGGTGCAGGACTTGGACCTTGGACCTTGGACCTATCTCTTCTGCTTTCTCAGGCCAGAGCAGAAAGCTGGATTGGAAGTGGAGTAGCCGGGACATGAACCAGCACCTATATGGTATGCCGGCACTGCAGGCAGTGGCTTTACCTGCTGCGCCACAGCACCAGCCCCAGAACTTGCTTTTGTAACAAATCTACTGTTGTGATAACTGGCTCAAGCCCGAGAGAATGATATTAGTCCACTCATGAGAGCAAACCACCTTTTTAACACTGTCACATTGGGGACTGAGTTTCCAGTACATGAACTTGGGGAGACAAACCGTAGCGCTGCGTGCTGCAAGTGCTTAAGTACATTACACCTGGATATTCCTATAAGGGAGGTCCTGTGATCACCCTCATTTGTAGTGGAGTAAATGGAGACGTCGGTGTTGCCCCAGGTCAAGGTCGCAGAGCAGGATTTGCTGCAGGCTGCCAGTCTCGCGGGGCTGCCTCTGAGCGCAGTATCGTTTGTGCTCGCCCGGGCACCAGACATGCTGTCGCCTGCTTGTCTGCACGGCAAAGCCACACTCATTTTTCAAGTTCAGGTCTAGCAGCAACTTCTGTGGGGCTTCCTCAATCCCCCTCCCCAGGAATGAGCGATCGGCCATTCATTGTGTGCATCTCACCGCCTGCTCCATCGCCCTCCCTGAGATGCCGGATTTCCTACTGGTGAGTTCTTGAGAGCAGGCCCATCCAACCCCTTCCTCTCTGTGGTTCCAGGGCCCGGCAGTGTGTCTGAGTGGGAAGGGCCAGTGCGTGTTTCTGGAAGGAGTATTTCCTTGCCATTCCTGCCCATTCCCTACCCACCGCTTCTCGTCTGCCGGGTCTGGCCCGGGATTTTCTGAGCCCCTGCAAACAGCTTCCGCAGTTCCCAGGTATCTCGTGGGGGAATTTACTTTACTTCTACTTCCCTGTTCTGTCCTGGTTCACAAGCAGGTGTTGTCAGGGATCCCCTTGCCAAAACCCAAGGGATGTTTCCATGGGGTTTTTTTCTTTCCTCTTTGGCTAGGGTGTCGGACTTAATTACCTCCCCCATGGAGATTGCTTGGAGGGCTTCCAGCCTGTTCCTGGCCAGCTCATACTTTTTTTTTAAAGACATAACTTTTTAAAAAAGATTTATTTATTTTTATTTGAAAGGCAGAGTTACAGAGAGAGAGAGAGGAAGACACACACACACGCACACACTCACACAGATCTTCCACGTGCTGTTTGACTCCCCAAGATGGCCACAACAGCTGGAGCAAGGCCAGGCGGAAGCCAGGAGCCTGCAGCTTCCTCCAGGACTCCCAGGTAGGTGGCAGAGGCCAAGTAGTTGGGCCATCTGCTGCTGCTTTCCCAGATGCATTACCAGGGAGCGGAACTGGAAGTGGAGCAGCCGGGACTTGAACCGGCAACCACATGGGCTTGGTGTTGCAGGGCATGGCTTAACCTGCTACCCCACAATGCAGGCCCAGGGAAATACTCCTGGAACCGCCGCCTCTGCATTTCCCACGGCTCCTCATGGTCGTCACCTGCTGCATACCTTCAACGTCTCACTGTCCCTCAGAAGAAACAGCACTGGGTTTATTCCTGGGCAGGGACCCAGAGGGTGGCTCTAATATTGCTAGGGTCCATGCTCCTTGGGAGATGTCCTGGGATGATGCTGGTCCACTTGTCTCAGGTTCCCACACTGCATGCTGATCCATTTTGGCAGCTTCAAAATTCAAAAGCACATATTAAAAGAGTAGAGATGGTGCCGGCGCTGTGGTGCCGTGGGTTAAAGCCCCAGCTTGCAGTGCCGCCATCCCATATGGGCGCCCGCTTGTGTTCCAGCTGCTCCTCTTCCAATCCAGCTCCCTGCCCATGGCCTGGGAAAGCAGCAGAGGACACCCCAAGTCCTTGGGCCCCTGCACCCGCGAGGGAGAGCCAGAGGAAGCTTCTGGCTTTGACTCAGCTCAGCTTTGGCCATTGTGGCCATTTGGAAAGTGAACCAGTGGATGGAAGACCTCTTTCTCTCTGTCTCTGCTTCTCTCTGTCTGTAACTCTGGCTCTCAAATAAATAAATAAATATTTTTAAAAGCAGTAAAAAAAAAAAAAGACTGCTGCTTTTAATTCGATCTTTAAGAAAAAAAAAACGGAGGAAATGTTTGAGGTGAAAGATACGCCAGTTACCCTCATCAGTACACATTGTATACCTGCACTGACATAATACATTGTACTCTGTAAACAAGAACAATTATCTTGTCAACTAAAAAAACTTTCAAGTATGCTGTTACACCTGAACATAAATGTTTTTCATTTTTAAAGCTGTTTTTTTCTATAAAAGTTTACCATTATTTCATTTTTTGAAATTTATTTCCTTATTAAAAGGTAGAGACACAGAGACCTGTCACCCACATGCCCACAACAGCCAGGGCCGGGACAGCAGCTAGGAACCAGGAGTCTCCCACGTGCATAGCAGGGTCACAAGTGCTTGAGCCAGCACCTTCTGCCTGCGTCCAGGGTCCAGGGTGCGCACTGGCAGGAAACTGGCTGGGAAGGGAGCAGGGGGGACTAGAACCAGGTACTTCCCGTAGGGGATGCTGGAGTCCCAAGCAGCGCCTGCACCTTTAGGCCTAATGCCCGCGGCATCTGCGACCTTAAGCGCGACGCTGTTCCACACACTGCGCTCTCCCGGCGCGCATGCTGGGCTGCCCGGGATCGACGCGCTAGGCCGGGCACCCTGCACCCGCGACAGGGCCAGGACGTCTCCTCCGCTGTGTGTCCTCGGCACCTCCCAGGATGGGCTCCCGGGAGGCCATCCCCGCTCTCCCAGCTCCCGCCCCCGGCCCCGCGCGCGCGGGAGGCACAAGCAGGGGAGGGGACCTGGCAGCGGGATCGGACTTCCTCCCTCCGCTCCGGAACTGTGCGCGGGAGCGGCCGGGACGCGGAAACCCGGGAGGCGCCGCGGGAGCCGGCGGGCCGGGCGCGGGGCCGGGCGCGGGGGTGGGGCCGGGGCCGGGCGCGGGGCGGGGCGGGGCGCGGGGGTGGGGCCGGGGCCGGGCTGCGCGCGGCGAGCTGCGCCCCCGGACTCTGCGAGCGCTGGGCACCGGCCGGGCTGTGGTCCGCGCGCGCAACCGCCGCCGCCTCCTCGCAAGCAGGCTCGGCCGGGTGCGGCGGGCGGGCAGGGGCGATGGGGGCGCGGTGAGCCGGGGCCCGCGGGCGCGGCCGGACCGCCGCGATGTGGCTCAAGCCCGAGGAGGTGTTGCTCAAGAACGCCCTGAAGCTCTGGGTGACCCAGAAGAGCAGCTGCTACTTCATCCTGCAGCGGCGCCGCGGGCACGGCGAGGGGGGCGGCCGCCTCACCGGTAAGGGGCGCGCGGGGCGGGCGGGCCGGGGCAGGGCCCGGGCCTCGCTCCCCGGCCGGGCCGCGGCCAGCCCCGCGGCGTCGCAGGTGGCGATGTCGTGGTGGGGCGGGGGGAGACGCCGGGGCCAGGACGGCCCTGCCTGGAGCTTGTTTTCCTTTCTTACGCGTTTTCTTCCAAGCTCGGGTCGAGGAACTCACGGGCTGGTGCATTTTTTTTTTCTTCCGGGCGAGTCAGGTGCGGTGGACACCTGGGGGCCAGATTGGGCTCGAGAATCGAATCGGAGAAACGGTGTCCGGAGCGGGACCCGAGGGAGGAGTGCGGGCCGCGGTGCGGGTCCAGGTGACAGTGGGGTTGCGCCCCGGGGGCCGCCCCGACGCTCCCATCTGGACGCGCCCGCGTCTCCAGCTGGTGTCTCGGGCACCCGCGACCAACCCCGCAACGGGGCCCGCAGCTCGGGAGACCCCGCGATCGGGCGTTTGGGCCTGGGACCAGTGTAGCTCCCCGAGGGGAAACCGAGGCAGTTAGCGAATCCTAAACTCATAGTAAAAAAAAAAAAAAAAAAAAAAGGCTTTGTGAAGTTGGTGTAAAAGAAGGCATTTGTTTTTCTGGAAGTTAGGCTCCAAAGGTTTTTTTGAAACTGAGACCAGCTTGGGTTAGCTGGGACCCCTGCTTGTATACAGAGCAGCGAACGAAAATTCAGTAGTAGCTAGGATCCCTACATGACATGTTGAAGTTTCAAGAGAGGGGACCTTGTATGACCCTCGTTCAGCTGAGCAAGTCTGGAGTACTGAAAGGACCAAGCTTGTGTCCCTGGCTAGTGGCTGGACACTCAGTCTGCCCGGAGCCAGCCTGGAGAGGGCTCCTGGGGGTGGAGTCTGGTGGGCGGACAGATCCATGGGACCTCAAACAGCAGGGCCAAGGGCAAGGGGGACCAGCCTTGCTGGCCTCGGGCCTCTCAGAAAGCGAGCGGTTGGGTTTGTTACTGGGCAGTGGGGACGGCTTGGGTAGCAGGTGCGCCTTGGGAGGGGGGAGGCTGCTGGGCTGTAGCCGGCCCCTGGGCAGCACAGGGGTGCTCATTGCCCGGGCTTGAAGAAATGGAGGCAGGTGGTGATCAGCAGGGACGGGGCCAGAGAGGGCTTGTCCCCTGCCCTTGAAGGGCAGCGTGTCTAAATTTCTTGTGTGTGAAGCAGGTTGCCTGGCCTACAGATGGTCTCCTTTGTAGAGGGTGAGGATGGGGCCTGAAGCTTTGTGACTGTCCTGCAAACACTTCTGCACATGGCCTGCGGGGCATGTTGTGTGCACTGCCTTGGGAAAGACTTCCAAGGGCAGGTGACGTGCTGTGCTGCCATCACGTCACTCACCACCTAGCAGGGATATGGGTCTGGACAGAGCAGGGCAGAGCTGTCTAGATGATGCCTGTCCAGAGCCCATCTCTGATGAGCTCAGAATGACACGGTCTCCGCCGTGTTGTGATCCGTCATCACCAGGCTCCATGTTGTCATCAGACCTGTGGCTTTGGCTTTCCTTGGTGTTTCCTTTGGGTTGAACTCACTGTGAATATACAGAATTTTCTGTTTTTAAATTTATTTGAGAGGTAGAGAGTTACAGACAGAGAGAGGGAGAGACATAGTGAGAGGTCTTCCATCCGCCCGTTCACTTCCCAAATGGCTGCAACGGCCAGAGCTGGGCCGATTCGAAGCCAGGAGCCAGGAGCTTCCTCCCAGTCTCCCATGTGGATGCAGGGGCCCAAGGACTTGGGCTATCTTCTCCTGCTTTCCCAGGCCACAGCAAAGAGCTGGATCAGAGAGAAGCAGCCAGGACTCCAGCCAGCACCCATGTGGGATGCTGGCACTGCAGGTAGAGGCCTAACCTACTCTGCCACAGCACTGGCCCCAGGAATTTTCTTAAAGGCAACAAGATCACTCAGAAAAGGGCCCCAAAAAGAAACCCACAAAAAACAGGGCACTGCGCTTTGTTTCGTGGAGACCAGAACCTTCTGTGGACTGTGAAAGGATGACCTTCCCTCTATAGCTGGACACTTTGCCTTTGGGTGTTTAGCTAGGAAGCAGGCAGTGTGGCTGTGGCCTGGTGATACAATCCTGACTCTCTGCATACCGCCCCCCACCCCCGGCTCATCTTTGTGGGGCTGCCTAGGAGCATTGTAAAGACAGGGCCCATGGGACATCCCGGGCAGCTCCATGTTGCTGGCAGTTTTTGGAAAGTGTACAATTCTAATTTGGTGGATTTTTAGCCATTGGTTTTTAAGAGTTTAACACTTGGCTTGTGTTTATGAAAACAATGGGGGCTAAGGTGATAAGCAGTGCAGCCCACTCTAGAATTTGGAAAGAATCAAGTGGAATTAGCGAAGAGGAATTAGAAATAAAACGTAAGGGAGCAGTCATCAAGAACTGTTTTTTTTTTTTTTAATTTTATTTATTTGAAAGTCAGGGTTACACAGAGAGAGAAGGAAAGGGAGAGAGAGAGAGAGAGAGAGAGAGAGAGAGAGAGAGAGAGAGAGATCCGTCTTCCATTCATTGGTTTACTCCCCAGTTGGCTGCAGCTGCCAGAGCTGGGCTGATCTGAAGCCAGGAGCTAGGTGCTTCTTCTGGGTCTCCCACGCAGATGCAGGGGCCCAAGCACTTGGGCCATCTTCCACTGCCTTCCCAGGCCATAGCAGAGAGCTGGACTGGAAGTGGAGCAGCTGGGACTTGAACTGGCGCCCATATGGGATGCCAGTGTTGCTGGTAGCAGCTTTATCTGCTGTGCCACAACACTAGCCCCTATAATGATGAATTTCTTACTAGATGGCCAGAGTTTAAACGTATGGGATCTGGCAGTTGCCCAGCCGGACAACGACAGACTTCTGTTTTGCTGAGGAACGTAACAGACAGTCCTCATAGACACAGGTTTACTGCCCACACCTCCTGCTTGATGTTCCCAGAGCCCTTTCTCACGGTCTGACATATGGGCAGCACCCTTAGGTGTTTTCTTCATGGTTTCCCCCAACTACATCGCCTGTTAGATGCAGTGGTACCCAGCACACAGTATAGGCTCAGTAAACAGTGGAGGGGAGTCTAGGCGAGTGAGGCTGGGCACAGAGGCCAGCTCAGAGGGTGGGACAGGAGGAGCATGTCCTGCCTCCTCCCTGCTTCCTGTTTACCTGGCTGGCTGACCACTGGGAAGCTGGAGAGCAGTGGGCTGGAGGCACAGTCCTCGTGCCTTTCTCTCCAGGGGGAAGGACCATGGCCCTGGTTTCCCTGGCAGCCTGAAAGGCAGGTGCAGGTGTGGCCGCAGGGACCACTTCCCGGGGCCTTGCCTGGCCAAGGAGATCCCCGGGCTCTGGGCACGCAGTGTGCTCTCTGATTGGATGTTTCCAAAGCTCTGCTGACAGAAGCGATTTTATTGCCCTGGGAAGGAAGTAAAGCCATATGCACTGTTCACTTGGGTGCAGACTCCAGCTGCTGAGAATGTGTCTTCTTCAAGTTCAAGTGCACCTGGAGAACAAAGTGGGAGAGGCTGGCCTGTGGGAGGCAGTGGAAAGAGGGAGGCGGCCATGGCCGCCCCTTCCCCAGGACTGCCTGCTCACCTCTGGGATGTGCCCTCCCCCCAGATTGGGCTCCCCCTGGAGGGTCTCATTCCCCTTTTGAATGCCTTCTTATGTGCACCTCTGCTGGCTGTCACATGGTTTTCCCAGAGAGGTTAGCAGTTAAAAAGTTGTTGGGGCGGGGGTTTGGTTCATCGGTAAAGTCGCCTGCATTCCGCATTGCAGGGCCTGGGTTTGAGTCCTGGCTCTGCTCCTGACCCAGCTTCCTGCCAATGCGCACCCTGAGAGGCAGCAGTGATGGCTCAAGTGGTCAGGCCCCTGCCACCTGTGTGGGAGACCTGGGTTGAGAGACTTGGCCCCTGAATTCTACACTGGCTCCTCACAGCCCCAGCTGTTGTGGGCATTTGGAGAGTGAACCAGCAGATGGACGCTCTGTCTGGCTCTCAAAAACGAACAACAGCAACGAATAAACAAAAAACAAGGGTTGTAAATTGAATACATTATTGATGTTTTCTACTTTGCAGAATGCTTGCCTTATGCCCCTGTTAATAACATCATTGATTTGTTGCAATGATGGTGATGGACTAAGCAGTTCCCCCAACCAGGTCAAGGGAGGAAGTGTGGTGTATCAGAAAATAGCACGAAGTGTGGTGTATATCAGAAAATAGAACGGAATACGGATTTTGCAGTCAAGATAAGTGTGTTGGTTACCAGTCTGAGCTGAGAGGCCTTGGGCTGGTTCATCCTGTTGCTGTGAGCTTTTGTTACAACTCATCTGAGACAGGCACAGTAACAAAGTTTGCCTTGGAGGGCTAGACTCTGCTTTCCTGCCACCCCACCTCCCCAGCATTGCTACCAGCTATAATAAGGGCTAGAATTTAATTGTAAAAAATGTACATCAAAGGCTTGGTTGTGCTTGGCATCTACTAGGTTTGAAAAAAGCAAAGGAAAATAACACACACATGCACACACACACATGCACACAAATCAAATAACAAGAAGGCTTCTGAAAATAAATATGTAACAGATTCCATTGTTGTGAAGGATATAAAAAAGAGTCATCTATCTGTTATAAAGTGCAGCATGGGGCCAAGCCTCTGCCTGTGGTGTCAGCATCTCATATGGGTGCCGGTTTGTATCCTGCTGCTCCTCCTCTTATCCAGCTCTCTGCTGTGGCCTGGGAAAGCAGTGGAAGATGGCCCAAGTGCTTGGGGCCCTGCACCTGCATAAGAGACCCACAAGAAACTCCTGGCTTCTGCTTTGGATCAACCCAGTTGCGGCCATTGCGGCCATTTGGGGAGTGAACCAGCAGATGGAAGACCTTTCTCTCTGTCTCTCCCTCTCTCTGTAACTCTGCCTCTCAAATAAATAAATAAATCTTTTTTTAAGTGCCGCATTTAGTAAGTGTAATTAAAAGATTAAAAAGAGTTAAGTAGCAGCTTGGGGTGAGCATTGC